CCCGTTGCCTTTGTTACTTTTTATAATTAAATCTCACCCTATTACCTTCTTTATTTTTAATACTTAAATCTCACCCTATTGCCTTCTTGTCTTCTTTACTTTTTATAATTAAATCTCACCCTGTTGCCTTTGTTACTCTTTATAATTAAATCTCACCCTATTGCCTTCTTTACTTTTTATAATTAAATCTCAACCTATTGCCTTCTTTAGTTTTAATACATAAATCTCACCCTATTGCAGATTGGGTGAAATGGCCTGTGGGGCAGATTCTAGCAAATTTTGTTCTGGTCCACTATCCTCCTTTATTTTGCAGATGTTTAAATTTTAATTTAAACGTTGATAAAAAGATAATTCTCTACTTAGCAGAGATCTGCCCGACCTTGGGACACTGGGCATCTAGTCTTGGCAAGATGTATACTATAACAAAAAAGAATATATTAATAAATCTCCAGATCATGTTAAAAATATGCTTTCTTCTTGTATATGCAATGTTCCTTCAGGACATTGTCGATCATAGCTCTCCACAGTCTCCTGTCCTTTGTAGCTCCAAGGAAATTTAGTTTTTTTGCTAACTCTCCTAATCCCTATTCTTTTTTTAAAAATCATTTCACCACAAGAAAGGCAATAAAGCCACTAAGAAGCAACAGGTTAGTGAGTGTGAGAGAATATGAGAAAAAGAAACGATATGTCTTATATCTTGTCTGACTTATATATAAAGTTGGTTATATAAAACTATAATATCATATAAATGCACTTGTAACATTATATCTACCACTATGTGCCTTATAACTTTCCCAACTGACTAGTTCTTATTTAATGGAGGTAACTAATTGGCATATTCAGATTTAAAAAATAATCTGTTTTGTTATTTATTTACAATTTAGTTTTTTATAATCTTTACAAATAAGTGATTGCCATGTTGATGGCTTTTATTTGAGAGTTGGTCAAAAAGTAATGCTAGTTCTCATTTAATTTTAGATTTTCTAATGTCTAGAAACCCAGAGAAAAATTTCTGGAGTTAATTTCTATTTTTCCTACCCATAGGTAGGAAAAATAGAAATTAACTCCAGAAATTTTCCTCTTGCAAAATGGTTACTCCTGTGGATACACTGGAGCTGTCATAGAATTAACCTTTTGGAATGAGAGTGTGCTACAAACTTTAACTTTGAACTGAAATCTTTTTGAAAATTAGTCAATGTTCATAGAAAGGCTGCATTTGATGTAGGAGATGGGTCACTAGAGTTAATAGAGAAAAGACAAACTGACTTTAATGATAGGCACCACAGTGACATGCCAACTGCTGTTGGTAATGAAGGTAAGGCTAAACAAGTTGATGCTCTTATTAGATCTGATAGAAGAATCACTATTGCAAAACTGTGCAAGCCTCCAGGTGAGCCATGGTAGTGTTTGTTGTTTAGTGCAGTATCTTGGATAATCAAAGTTTGATGCTATGTAAGTTCCTAGAATGTAAACAGACTTCATGAAAGAGCAGAAGGTGGTTGCTGTCTAAGGGCTTCTCAAATACAGCAATTTCTTAAGCAGGTTATTCATAAAAAATTAGATTTGGGTTCACAACTGTGAGCAAATGAAGGTCAATGAAGTTGCACCACTGAGACATATTCAGTAACAAGTAGTTTAAGGCAGTACACTCTACAAGGAAAATGATGGCAACTGTATTTTGGGAACCAGGGTCAGTGCAAGGGTCTTGTGCCTGCTAAATCTATTATCCATACTCCCAATATATGTTACAGGGCTCTTGTTCTACTACATCTCAATTTTCATAAGGTAGTATTCATATAAGATACAATTTTTTTAACTTAATTATGTACAGTAATAGATTATATACAATATAGTTGAACAATTCAACTAGAAAAATAGAAAATAAATACAATGCATTTAAATTAGAGATATGTCATAATAGATCATTGCATTTTAAATAAATCAACAATGTTTTGCTGCAATTTTTTACAACTTGAGATTTTTGATAGGGCGGATTTTAAGCTTCTTTAAAATAAAGGTTTCTTTGAAATGTTTAATCTTGGCATCTAAGTGAGAAGTTTTCATTCACTTTTTTTTCTCAGAATAAAATTGAAAAATGTTCTTCAGTAATTTTCTTCCATAATCATGATTTTGAATTTTCTTCATTAAAATACACATACAACACAAATGTAATGACAAATATATATATATATATATATATATATATATATATATATATATATATATATATATATATATATATATATATATATAAAATGTGGGGAATCTAATCGTTCACTGTCTTTTTTCATCTCAAGTGATTAACAAAGGAAGAGAAGTAACCAAAAGAAAAAAGAAAAAAGTTATTTAAAGTTATCTCCCTTTAAATAAGTAACGCCATGATTTGATAACCATCTCGATTAATGTTTTTAAAACCCTTTTTGTCTTTCTCACAACATACTTGAACCTTTATTTAAAATCTATTCTCTTTACAAGGTCGAATTTTGGACAGGCATGCTTTTTAAATCTTAGGATTTTTTTTAGCCATTATCCATTTTTGTTTAAAACAACCGTTTCTGCAATTAAGAGTTAAATTTTTTTTTTTTAACTGTTTATAATTGCAGGAAGGCTTGCTTTACATTATTTTACGTTTATAACAATGATATACTTGTCTAATTAGTTTAAAAAGGCTTTAATTTTTATATGTGAACTTATTGTGCTTTGGACTTCTTTTGAAAATAAGATTTTAATTAATGACCTTTAAAAAATTTCACGGTACACCGACGACCCTCACACAGCATACCAGTGTGCTCCGGCACACTGGTTGAAAATCAGTGATCTGACTCTTTTCACTGATACTTTCATGCCGGCTTATTTGCCGATAAATTATTTTTTTTTCACTTTGTTAAATAATTATTATTATATTTTTCAATTGATTTGCCCTTCAATCTTTTGCCATTTTATCAGCATTCTTTCAGTGAAATTCATAGTTTATGACAGAAGGAAAAAAAAAGATTTGAATAAAATGAATAAATTTTAAATTTAGATGATAGAATTTAGACTAGAGAGTAGTTTAATAATACTTTAAACTTTAATAATAACATTGTTATTAAAACATTTTATATTTTACAATATGAAAGAGGTGACTATTTCTTTTGTCTACAAAAGAAACCCATTTGGTACTTTAGTAATCATGTGTCACAATAAATACATAAGTATTAGTAATTACTCGAAGGCATCTTCTGTGAAGCGATTGTTGTGAATTTTCGCCAAAAGTTTTATTATGGAAGCTTCCTTCATTTCTCTGGGAATGATTATTTCCTTGTGGACTATTCTGTCTCAATTACCTCCCTTGGATTTGCCAGTTTAGCAGACGACATATCATTTTTTTTTTTTTTTAGCAGACGACATATCATTTGTGTGGTTTCCTCACCTCTAAATGTCGCTTGAAAGTTTTTCTTCATAGAACATAAAAAATAAAATCTTTATGTCGTGCCGACAGGATTTACCCGGACTAGCATGACTGAGAAACAGATTCGACTCAATCCATAAGGTAGGATTGATTTATTTTGTTTTTATAGGTACCTCCACAGGCTTAAAAAAAATCGCACTTTAAGTAGGTTCTTCCAAAAATTTGCTAGAAAAGAGGGTAAATGAAAAAAATGTCCAAAACATAATAAAAACAAAATTTTATCGTCAAAATCTTTGTTATTATTAAGAAGAAACATTAAAGGGATTTTTGATGGAAATTTTTTTTAATAACTTCTTAGAACTTTGCAAATTTTGGTTTGGTTTGATTTTTTTGTTTTACGGTATGTCAACCTCAATGGGTTATTTAACGCCGGCAAGAATAGGTTCGTATGAATAGAATATGTATTCTTTATAAGAAATCAGTTTGTAGATCAGGTTTCATTGACGTATTTTTGTAAAGAGGGTTTTTGTCGAGAATACTTGTTTTCTATTTAAGCTTATTTTTTAGGTTGCGTGGGAAGTGTTTTAACAGAAGACGTTTTATGCAGCAAAATAATTATTTTCAGCATAACTATCTTCTTTGTTAATGCACTTAATTCAACACATTTACGTACACTAAATACATAGAAAGTGTTTTAACGGAGGACGACAAATCTGAAGGCGGATCGGGATAGCCAAAGATGTATTCCAAAAGCTAAGCAGATTGGTTTGGTTTGTTTTGTTTTACTGCATATCAACACCACACTGGGTCATTTAATATCAACAAGATTTTTACGATATGGTTGTATGAATAGAATATGTATTCTTTTTAAGAAATCAGTTTGTAGATCAGGTTTCATTGACGTATTTTTTTGTAAAGAGGGTTTTTTGTTGAGAGTCAAATCTATTGTTGGTAAATTTTTTTTCTCGAAAAATGTATTGCTTCTATTTTTACTATAAAAATCTATTTTTATACTTTCATAGTGCTTTGGCTCCAGTTTGTCGGTTAACTATTTGCCCATAGCTTGGACCCTAACAAGTGTTACCACCCCAGGTCAGAATGAACCTGGGAACAACAGCAATTAAGAAGTGGTTGCACGCCCCTGAAAACCTCCTGATCAGCGGCCTTGCTGCCGGATGTAGTTTATCGTCATACCCAATACGTGGACATTTTGGTTAAAAATCTATTTTTTTTCGTGAACGCTGGACCATTAATTTGTACGGGAATTTTTTTCAGGGAAAAACATTAACTTGGAAATCAGATAATTATCAGATTTTAATGAAACTTTCAGGACTTATTCAGAAATTAAAATTTTTTGAAACGTTTCCTTTTTAGAAACTCTTGTAAAAATATGTTTTTTAGATCTCTTACCCACAATCATTTAATTTTTATGAAATTTCGAGATATTATTTATTTGTATCGCTTAATGTTTATATTTCTTATAATTGTTGACCGACAGACAGCAAAATCTTCACTGTCATTCAGACTGTCTGGGTATCAAGGGCCGAAAGCTACAGGTAGAGTAGATATGCATGTTGGTAGAGAAACTAATTACATCTTTGTTGTTCTTTGAAACGGCGGTTCCCGTATAATGACTGAAGTTAAGCAATCTCGAGCCTGGTCAGTACTTAGATAGGTGAACACTTCGGAATACCAAGTGCTGTAAACTTGGATGTGCGGTTGGTGTCATTAATAATGGCTCGGAATTGTTAAACGGAGAGCCGAGTTTCAATTTCAGTTGTATTCGTTATATTCATTTACGCTCAAATACCTCTGGGAAAGATATGAATCAGTCTCTTATCCCCAGCTACGAGTAAGACTTCTATCACTAAATCACTATTATTATCACCGCCCCCCACCGCCAATCGTAAAACGTAAAAATATTTTCTGACTTTAAATAACCTACAAAGAGTTGATAAGCCGTAAAAACGAATGAGTCAATAAAATATTGATTAGCAACACATGCAGGTCTTTTAGATTTATTTATCTGTAATAAATGTATAGAAACTACTGTGGCCATAAAGTGAGGGACCATTTTATATATTGATCGTAATATAGAATTGACCCCCCTCTTTATATCTACATTATGATTTTTTTTGTTTATCAAATTCTGATTAGATATGAATTCATCTCTTTTCCCACCACTGTGTGTTAATTAGTAAGTAAGACTTGTATCACTAAAATCATTATCTTAAAAAATTATTAACTTGAATTTTTATTAGATGAAGCATCGTCAATCATTATTAATTTTTACAAGCATTTCTTTCATCTTCATTTTACTTGCTTTTTACACTTGTAATATTATGTTGAATTTTACATTCGACTACATCTCAATTTTCATAAGGTAGAATTCATATAAAATACAAATTTCATTGTAACCTGTACAGTAATAAATCATACAATATAGATGAACAATTCAACTAGAAATATGGAAAATAAATACAATGTGTCTAAATACAAAAATAAGAGACATAGATCATTCCGTCTTAACTAAATGTTTTGCGGCAATTTTTGAAATCAACTTGAGATTTTTTTCGTTAAAAAGTTGGATAATTTTAAACACATTAAACATTATCGATAAAAATACTTAAGTCTTTTTTTTTTCGAAACTTAGCATGAACAAAAACAAAAGTAAACAAATTCATGAATTTGGACGAAAAAAAAAGACACCAGAATGACGTCAAAATCGGCGAAAAAATTTCATCCTTCAATTATGCTCAGTTTGTAAATGAAGGTAAAAAAAAGCAAATGTTGATAGGTTAACCGTTAACGAAGGTCACAAAACACTGCCCGAGGCCCCCAATCATGTTCTCCCACCCCGTATGTAGGGTTCGAGGGTAATACGCAGCGGACCTGCTGTGCAGGATGTTGACATAAGTATTTCGCTTTATACGCCCATCGAGAGGAGGAGCTGAACTGCATTTTTCGTTAGATTGGTATTGACACCTTCGTGATATCAAGTCGAGTAGTTTTAACAGGTGATTGGAATGTCGTCCTTGATCTAGTTCGAGATGACGATAAGTGTACTAACATTCTTTCGGATGTAAAAAAAAAAAAAAAAAATCGTGTATTAAATTTCCATATTTGATTCGATCGATAAATTCTGAAATAAGCACCCGAAGCGGGTAAATGGGCATGTTAAGGGTGGCTCAAATCTTGTGCAGCGTTCTCGTTAACTAAAATATCAAACAAGTTTTAGCTTGGAGAGTCGACTTAGGAGTCATAGTTTTTTCCTACTTTTCACAGTATTGTTAATTAATTAGGACTGGGTTCGAATAAACGTTGTCACGTGACTTTAAGAATCAGTTATTGACTGTTTTGGGAGCATTTACATCTCCGCGAGTGATCGGACTGCTTTTATCGACGCATCGTCTATAGGTAGATTGCCAACAAAGATTAAAGGGTTTTATGTCTGCCCATAATGAGCACGGAATAATAATGACTTCTTTTATACACTCCCTTCAAATTCGGATGAATGAGGAAAAAAAAGGAATTCGCGAGCTATGTGAAATTGTTCTGGGACCAATGAAAATCTTACCATCATAGAAAATAACCAGAAAGAAATGAGTGAGGCTCTGCGAAATTCTTTTTGATATAAAATGAAGAGAAAAATTAAATTAAGTATTTGAAGTATTGTGAAAGGTTTCGTTTTTGTTCACCGTGTCCAGCGTTCAAGGTTTCGCCAGTGTCAAATTACTCACCAATTATATTATCGGCTTTTGACCGAGCGCGTGACACTTCAAAGAATTTTCATTCAACGATCCAAGTATGATAAGTATTTCAAATTATCTCTCTTCGTCTACTTTTGAACGTCTGCATACCATATATTCCTTCTGTGATCAACGAACTCTTAACTTTGTTTTAAACATTTTTTAATATTATTTTGTGTCAAATCATTTAATCTGTCGTATGAATATGTCCCGTTCATGACAATACGTCAAAACTACGGACTTTAAGTATTCTGATTTATTTTCCTGAAATGAGCTACTGACACAACTTCAAGCGTATAAATTCGTAAATAAATTCCTTATTTTGTTTTGTTAAAATTACCTGTATGTTTCCTTGTCATTATCATCCTCCATTAATCTTCTTGGCATAGGTAAATCAACTGTTCATTTTAACCCCTAAGCCCCACGCCACTATATTCTCATTAATTGAGGACCTTTGACTACGTCCTAGCACAACCGCCGACGGCTTCCTAAAAGTTACGTCAACCCAATTTCATTTATACTGGCAGTATAGGTTTTTACGCATTTCCCAAAGGTGCGACACACTGGCATCGTCTCCCTAGGCTGATTTTCATCAAGAAGTCCCTTCCTTCGAAAATCGATCATGGTGAGATCCGAATCCGGGTCTCACACTCGAAATGTTAACGCTCTCATCACTCGGCCATAGTTAACAAATAAAGTTAGACAGACCTAAATATAGGATAGCTGCATATTGGAAATTTAGCACATTCTTGTTGGACCTGAAGGATTTAGAGACCAGCTAATGATTCTAAAGCGAGAATTGATGGGAGCTGTGATTGAGAATAAGTTGTTAGATCACCTAAAAAATTATTAGATTATATTCATATTGTACATACTCATTGGGGATTTTTTTAACTTGTTGTTTTATTCCCCTCCCTCCACAGACGACGATTTGTACATATGGGGACTATTTAGGATTTTCATTGAGACAATGAGGTATTTTGGTGGATGTAGTAAGAAAGGTAAGTAAGAGTGTGTTGTTTTGGTGTTAGGATTATTGTTTGTATGTTTGGGTCAGTGTTTGTGGCTAGCTAAGTTTAAAGTTAAGATAGATGAAAACCGTCCTTTTCCCCATCCACCTTTTTAGGCCTTGTGCCACATTTTCTGTATTTTAACAGAAATGAATATTGGCAGATTGCTATCTACCATATTCGTAGGTTTAAACTAGAAGGGTTTGTGGTACAAAAGACACTCGAATGAAGGTTGTAAATTCAGATGTTGACTAAATAGCTATAGCTTAGATACAAATGGCGTCCTTCTTTAACAGAAAGGGACAAGTTCTTGTTGTTAAGAGATAAATTAAAGGCGATGAATATATCAGCAGTTGCGTACAGAAAAAAAACTCTGGAATGCTACTGCTCGGCAGTGGATGGGTGCTATTTGATTACAAATGAAGGTATCTGTGAGAAATTTCTGGAGTACGACCAGAATTTAAGAAAAATTATTATTATTATCATTATTAACAACAGAAGGAGGAGAAGAGTGGGGTAGACCAGTATGAGTTAAAATGAGCACCTCTTTAGTATACTTTCCTCGCTTCGAGGTTATTTAAACAGTTAGATGATAGCCCCATAACAGATAATTAAATTTAGGTAGACATCTGGACAAAGGATTAGATCGAGAATCAGCGGCTTGCCTTGAGGTGATTTTTTTAAACGTAGCTTAGATGTAGCACAATGTCGGAAGTACGGAGCACTCAGTCAGGATCGATCTCACTATACAGTGGTAATTGATCTACGAGACGAGCTTGCTAACCATTACACCACGTCGAGGTGGCTGTGGCTTGCTTTATGAAGTGTGTTTGAGGCTGACGCAAATGTATATCTCCTTTGCGGGCACAGATCTTCAACTGGATGTAGCAGGTGAACATTTCTCAACGTTTCACCAGTATTCATTGATGCTTATCTTAATATAATTTTTTAATAATTTCATTCCAAGCAAGACAATAAAGCCACTAAGAGGCGGAAGATTACTGAGTGTGAAATATATAAAAAAACGGAAAAACATTATAAAGGAGCGAGAAAAATAAAAGAACACGAATTAAGAAAACAGAAGATAACGATTGACATTGTATTTAAATTTTTGAAGATCAAAGTTTACTGGATAGCAAGAAGCCGGAAGAGAGTTACACAAACAAGAAGCGCGATAGAAGAAAATGTTAGCATAGAACTTACGGTTACATCTAGCCATTTCAACTGTAAAATGATAAGACCTTGTTGTCAATCTAGTACTGCGCTTAAATTCATAAAGTTTAGGTACCATAGAGGCAAATTCACCAGAACAATTACTATTAAAGTATTTGTAGAAAAAGCATAGATAAGCTACATTACAGCGGTGGAAAAGTGAAGCCGAGATGTCAGGTTAGAGCCAATAATATTGCAGATCCTGCTTTGAATTTTTTGAAAGATCTCTAAATATATAGCCGATAGCACCAGACCATATATAGCAGCAATATTCGATCATGGACGAATGGTATACTTATAAATATGTAAGATATATTCGGTTCAGAAAAATTGTCCAATAATTGTCAAACAACTTTGCTAGACCTAGTAAATGATTCCTTAGTATCCTTCCGCATGTCAGCGGAGACGATCGTCCTAGAAGGCTCAATGAATCACTCTCCTGGAGGTTAGCATCAGCCATGCTGATGGATTGGCAGAAACGATTCTCTCAGATGATTATTAGAGAGCAGTTTCGTTTTGGAGGAGTTAAGATTAACAAGGCATTTCTTGCTCCAATTGACAACAGATTGTAGGTTATTTTTTAGATCAGCTGCCAATTTGAGCTTATCAGGAATTTCACAAGTATATCTTGCTCAAAGTGCGCTTTATATATTGTGCATAAAGTCTGTGGCCAAGTTTAACAGGTTTGTAGTTTGCAAAATTTTCTTATTCGTTAGGCACTATTTTTAGATAGC